CCTCGAAGAGCATTCTATTTACTTCGGTTTCAGAGGTCTTGCCAGCATTCAGGATTCATGAAGAATAGCTGTTAAGTGTAAAAGGAAGAGGCCAACAAAGCAAGTAATTAGTCAGAAGAGTACGATTTGCAGGGGTGGGAGAGGTTAATGAAGCATTTTACTGAACAGAATGCTCTAGGTTCTAACTGTTAATGTTCCTGAAAGTAAGAGTTGCCACAGGTAAGCAAAATATGGGCAAATTTGAGGCAGATAATGAAAAAAAGTTGGCTTTCTGGAGGCTGATCCAATAACATTGTTCCTTTGCATCGATAATAGGAAGGTAATTTGCTATGGATAGCGTGATGTTTGGTGATGCAGAAGTGAAGAAATAAAGAACTTTTCCTTGGTCTGTCTGGATGACACTAACATCCAGGAGATATTAATGACAAAGGCAGGCCCACTTATTGCCAGTATTCATTTTCTATATGTTTTTAATAGTACAGAAGATCCTCTAGTTATTAGTAGGTACCTTGCATTTACTTAAACTAAAAAAATTAATATATTTTGAAAAGCTGAGCAATTCTGCTCATGTATGTTTTAGTAAAAATGCCAAGCTATCCTTACCATTGTTAACGTATGTTTTGTAGGTAAAACTGGTACATGGTCCTGCTGTAGCAGCTCTGATCCAAACAAACCTTTGTCATGATCGCATCTGAGTTATAAGCTAATGAATCTCATTTCTTTTCCTTATACTCACTTATCTTTTTAGATGCCCTATGGTGCATGACTTGCCTACCTGTCACCTGTACTGGGGTGACTAATAGGCATCTGAAACTTATCCCCTATCACGCACCTTCTCCTCCCCAGATTTTTTCCATTTGGAGGAACACATGACAATCTATGAAAGTTGCTTAACTCCTCTCCCCGCCGCCAAAAGAGTTTCAAATGAGAAAAAGACAACAAAATCTTTGAGCGATCATTAATTCTGCTTTTTCTCTTAATCCCTCAACAATATTTAATCCATCAACAAGCTCTCTTCTAACATATTCAAATGCACCTACTTCTCCTCACCTGAATTGCCATCACAGAGTCCAAGCCGTGGTTGTTCGTCCCTCCTACATTATAGCAAAACTTGTAAAGTGGTTCTCCTGTGTTTACCCTGACTAAACTGTCTGCAGACATCAGCCATGAGGTCTTTCAAAATATCCATTAGATCATGTCATTCCCACCCCTAAAGGTTCCACTGCAGCTGGAATAAGAGCAGATTCCAAGGCTGCATGTGACGTGGCCATTGTCCCCGTATCCTCACATCTCAGCACTAGCGTGCCACCTCTCACTATGGTTCAGCCTGGCTGCCACTCCCTTCCTGCTGATCGTTTCACATGCCAAGGCTGTTGCCCAATGGGGCCATTTTCATCAGTGTTTTCTTTCGCTTGAAATGCTCTGCATGTGGTTTCATGAAGCTTGTTCCTTCCCATCAAGTCTCAACTCAAATGGCTCCTCCTCTCAGAGGCCTTTCCTAATCTTCCCACCCAAATTAGCCACCAGCCCCAGTCATTCTGCACCCCCTCGCTCATTCTTGTCAGCCCTCAAATCCTTTCCTTCACCATATGCAGACTTCTAATACTGTCCCCTTTCTTATCTTTTAATAGCAAGATTCTAGCAAGAGGGGGCCCTACTCTCATCCTGTGAATTTCAGAAGCCACTTTAGTTTGGCTTGTGGCTAATATACAAACCAGTTAATACCAATGAATGCAGAACTGATATACTCAATGACTTATTTCAGTCCTCATCATTCTTTATGTATTTACAGCATTTGACACCCTCACCTTCAATTTTCCCTTACTTCTCAGTAGAGTGAATTAGGTAGAAGTCCTATAATGCTTAAAGCAGCCTCCAACAACAACAAAAATGATGTGTTCTATGTAACTTTTCAATGTCTCAAAGTCATTTGTATAGGCTGAAAATAATTTTATAGTTACTGAGCCTTAAAGCAAGGTTTTACATATGAAAATAAATTCAGATTTGCACATTTTAATATTCATTAAATTTTTCAAAAATTTAACCACCATGGAAATTGAGAGATGATTAACTTGTTTAGTTTGGACTTTCACTAAGAGTTCAACGTTTCAGAAAATTGTATCTTCAGTGACAACAGGTCTTGAGGTATTTGTGTACTGTGTGCTATATAGCATGGCTATATTCGTATAAATATGTATATATGTATAAATGTACACATATATATTTGTAGTTATCACAGTCACAGTGTTTCTAGGTGTGTATAAATGTTAAAATGCACATATATACATATCTACCTGCATATATACATGTATATATATATATAACCATACATATATATTCAACATTATGTTAAAATGCAAATATAAAGAAAATATTTAGTTCAATATTGAATTTATTGTTTAAATATTGTTTAAATATAAACTTCCTCATTATAACTAGGTACAGCATCTGTTAACTTCATTATATCATTTAATATAGACCTACCTGAAGCATTTATATATTTAACTAGGTATTTTAAAATAAACATTTCTATTATTTCTCTTTTATATTAAGGGTGGAAAGTATATATATATTTGTAAAATTTTATGTTAAAAGGTCATATTATCTATGACTTTTATTTAATCATAATAAAAAGGGGGCTATAAAATATCCATTATATTGGGCCTCATAGGGCTGGGAACCAATACATTATAGCTCCATGTCTCTAATGGGCTTCCCCTCTAACTAGCCTGATCTTTCTACCCTTTCTACCTGGAAAATGTCAGGAACCCCCTTTTCCATGCTCACATGTCCCCTTGTACATGGCACTATTAGAGCGTTGATCAGATAGTACTTATTCTATTCATCTGATGCTCTCCCATTCTAGATTGCAAGCTCCCAGACAGCAGGGTGCTTGTCTCACTCTTTTCTGTAAACCCAGCATCTGGCACATGGACATAGTAGGTTCTCAATAGATGCTTACAGAATGAATGAACCTATTTGAGGAAGGTGGTATCATGACTTTCTGAAAATGACAAAATGAATTAAGTCAATTCTCATTAAAATTTGTAGAAAATGCATATGAAACTCTACTTGATAAAGCAGATAAAATCAAGCTACTCTTTTTATAGTGGAGGTGGATGGTTCTAAATCCTATCAGCCTGTCTTGCTGTCAAACTTTATTGAGTCCCTGAGGCTCTCAGGCACCTTCCTGAAACTCCATTTAAAGAATATTGGACTACATCTCTCATCAGAATGACCCCTTCCTTCCTCCCTTCCCTTCCCTTCCCTTCCCTTCCCTTCCCTTCCCTTCCCTTCCCTTC